CCTTCTGGACGCTACATTCGAAAAAAAATAAAAAATAAAAATAAAATAAAAGTAAAATAAAAGTAAAAGAAAGAAGCTAATAATTACTTAAGCATTTTGTTTTATTTTAATTAAGTCTTCTAATTCCTTTTTGGTCCACCTGCCAAATTCCAGCAACTTCGTTGCATTCCTTAAATGCTTGCACAATGTCTACTTATCTCTCGTTTGTACTTTATCTTTCTTCGGTACGGATTCTAAATTTCAGTATTCAAGTGGATGTTCTATTTTCAGACTACCTCGTATAATCTACTACTCCTGAACAGGAAGAGCTGCTATCGACATATATGTCGAGCGAGATAGTTTGGACGCTTTTTTTTTATATAACGAAAGCAGTTGCACTCTGATAATGACGTCAACGACTTATTGTTACCCGCTTTCATTTATACAAAGTGGGTCACAGCTAGTCGCATTAACTATTTATTCATTAGATGCAAAAGTTGCATTGAGGAAGTCGAACAGTTTTTTTTTTTAGGAAGATAAAACAGAACATTTAACTACCAGTATAATTTCTGGATGTTATAAAATTAAGTTGGACATTGTAAGCTCCTGGTTAGTATCAAGTGCTTAGCTTGTTGGGAATCTTGAAAATTAAAAATATAGGATCTTTGAAAAATACTTCTACGGAGAGTGTGGAGTTCTAAGTCCGACTCGCTTCATTTTAATTCCTTTTGTAGAATTTCAGCACCCTTCATAGATTGAAATTATCCAATTACCATCTTTAGTAACAAAGGCTGCTTATACATAGAATCAGAAATAGACAGTTCAAATGAGGAAAGAAGGTCTGGAGAATCAGACACGCACAGGCCATATTAAAAGGCAAGCGGGACAAACGAAAAGCTTGTGTAAACGAATGGCAGAAAAGTGATTGAAAGTGAGAAAATACAAACATTACAAAGCTCTTAAAAATAGGAAGTTATGGAGAGCCATGATTGTTTACCCACATATCAACCTCTATTGGTTATTTAATGTCGAAATCTAAATATTTTATACATATTTTTAGATAATGGTTTTAGTGATACAATTCTTACTAATTAACCCATAACAGGGGGACAGAAGGTGGATTCATACCTACCGCAATAGGTATTTGCATGTAAGTGAATATAACGAACCCAACGGGAATTGAAACGCGGATCTCCGATTAACAATTCCGAGCCATTATCCATTACACCACCCACACATCCAAAACTTGGTACGCCTTGGCGGTAACACTACACAGATTTTCTTTTTCAGAATAGATCTGCGCAAGCTTGAAATGGCCTATTTCGACTTACCCATCCTAAGCAATTCTTTAAAACCTGAAGAATTTTAAGACTTTAAACTTAGAATATATTAAAGTTAAATATATACATGTATTTTTAGACTAAAATCGTTGAAGACCTTAAAAAGGCAGAAGTTTTTCTCCAATTCGAAGAAAATGAATGAGAATATCCGCTGACTAGCATTAACAAAAAAGTTTATATTTCTCAACAGGTAATTAATTATTCGGCTGTGATTTCAAAGATTGATACCTTAGATACGTCAGGTTAAGTTTTATTTTAACCAAACTTTATTTTATGGATTCCACCTTCCATTTCTAGGTTCCTCGTAGACACTTAATTGCGAAATACGAGAATCGACTGAAATTTTCGTAAGCGGACCAAAATGTTAGTAGGCACACCAGTTGGTACACTGAAAGAATACAACAGAATACAAACAACTAGTCGATTAGCTGCTGCATTTTGGTACGCTTGTAGATCTTAGTATATCTACTAACTGATGTCTTAGTAGGCACTTAATATTGGAATTATATTCTCCAGAATTACACTAAATGCTTTCAGACAGATTATTTGAACAATCCTGGTTGAGTCAGGAAAAAGAATCCAGGCGTTTGAGAACAAATGCTTCAGAAAAGTTCTCCGTTATCTCCGAGTGGAACACAAAACCAAAAGTCTTGTGTGCAGACAGGAATCTCTCTTCACTATTATTAAGCGTCGGAAGAGATGGTTTGGCTATATCACACGACACAACAGCCTCTGCAAGACCATCATGCCGTTGGCGGAGGCAAGCGGGGATAGCAACGCAAGAACTGGTCAGACATCAAAGATTGGACGGACATAATGCCAGAAATCTTGAGAGCCACCGCCAACAGATATCCTTAGACGATTGACACAGTTGAATCAAATATGCAAATTTTTAAATATCATGCGATCAGTGCCCATTTCAAATGAACTGAACGCGCTTTATAGAAGTCTCTGAACTTTAATGTAAGATATTCGAAGACAAGTTTTATTTTACTATATTAAACACTAGTTCCTTTAAGGAGGAGTGGGGAGGTCATGGTTAAGTCATTTTACAATTGAATTGGTTATAATTTTCTGCGTGAGTAATGTAGGATTTTCATCAACAAAAACTCCATTCCTGTATGCAAGAATGAATTATGATATTTAAGTCATTCATAGTAAAAATATCCATTTTTGCTATACTGTGTTCACTCCTGTACAAGGCCCGGAAACCAGTTTATGATAACGGTTAACCCTTGGTTTGAACTGGTTAAGATTGCAATGGTCGGGGAAGCATCCTCTTTAGAGTCGGTTCAACACAGCAGCAGTTCGTGAGAAGCTGCTCGAGTGGTACTTACATCTCAAAAATGGAATGTGAGGGTGGTTCACTAAAGTGTGTGTAAGAGGGCATAGCGGGTCTTACCCGTGACTTTTAGATACGAAACAAAGAACTAAGCCACATTAGCAACAGTTCGTCTCCACTTAATTTAGATATTCTATTATGCTAACAAGGTATTTTATCGTTTTCTAAGATTAGCTTAGTTTTGTCACAAAGCCACATTTGAGGATCGAACTCGGTACTTAATGATCAACCAGACTTAACCACTACTCATTCACAGACGTCCAACACTAGGTATCTTTTCTCCTGTAATCATAACGGAATATCATTACTAAGGAGAGCTCAGAGAGAATAATAGATATTTATTTTTGGTTTTAGAGAAAAACTTATTTAATACTTCAATACAAAAAAAAATAAAGGATACAATTTTCGAATTTAAAACATCGAATTAATGCCTTTTTTTATTTCAAAAAGCAGAAATGAATAAACAAAAAAGCAAGCAATTAATTGCAACAAGCAACGAAAGCAAGTGAATAAAAAAAGTGCATTTAAATAATCTTTCTTGGTTCAATGACCCCATTAACTGAAGTCGGCCTTCAGATTAAATTGTCTTTAACATTAAAATTAGCCTAGCGTTTCTAATCACGGTCAGTGGCGTAGCTAGTGTTTTTGCCGCCCCTCCCCAGAAGGAATACAATATTACAATAACTCCTTAAAGTTATACATTGTTTTACTACCGTGAAAACTTGAAAATAGACTCACATAAGTATGAAAAAAAATAAAAAATAAAAATAAAAAACTGTATTCACTTCATCCAACCCACATCAAGCCCTTAGAGAAAGAAAAAAAATGCTTACGTCTTGTAAGTGGGGCTTATCCCCACCAGCTGGCAATACGTTTTGGAGAATTTTTTTTTGTCTGGCTTTGACCCGGCCATAGCAATGACAAATTGGCATGATTTGAACCTTATCTTTCTTATCGCTGCTTTTTTTTGCAAAAATTACTGAAAATCTATTTCTTTTTTCTGAAAAATCACCGTGGACCAAAAGTACCGCCCCATCCCCTAGCTACGCCCCTGATCACGGTAATGCTTTAATTTAGTCGCAAACTGTTAATCGGTTTGTTTCGTTTTAATACTCACTACTCGAAGCGTAAAATCAAATTCGTTTTTCTGGAAGTAAATTTTTAAAAAATTATTTTTTCCAAGATGGGTTTTTCTCATACAACCATGACAGCAAGTGTAATGTTTGTTTAATTTACAATATACTGGGATAGTGTTTGGGAGTCGTTTATAAATTATTAAATAGTGTTATAGTTTCTTTAAGTCCTCAAAAATATTTCTAAAAGGCAGAAGGGGAGGAGAAAAAAAATCGAAAATTATAAAAAGTTTAAATGGCAAAAAAAAAAAAAAAAAAAAAAAATATGGGGATTGGTTGAAACATGTAAAAGGTGTGTATTTTAAAATTTCGGTAATATTTCTGCTTTCATTGGAAGAAAGTTTTGTACGAGAATGGTCAGAAGTTCTCGTGGAAGTTATTCTCGCGTCAATACATTGAGTTGTGAAGAAAAAGAAAAAGCCTTTGCAGACAGTTTTAAAATCGAGCTAAATAAAGAAAAATTTCAGTTTCACATTTTGACCGTTTTATAAAGCTTAAATTTTCCTCATCTTATTTTATAAAAAAGTAAAAAATTCTAGTTTTGTTGGTGTAAACTTCTATTTCAAACAGAATCCATAAACATTATATACACACACACACATATATATATATATATATATATATAGCATGAGTAAGTAGTAACTAGTTGTAGGCCACTAATGGAATATTTTGTGCGTTAACAACCTTACCAGCAACTATGTTAGGAGTTAAAAGACTCCAAGGTAATTGATATGTAGATAAGGTTTTCTTATTAAGATGTTTCAATGAATCAATTTAGTTGTGGATCAAAATGCGTCCTAAAACTTGGAATATCTTTTCATTAAAATATTCCAACTTAATAGAGGTTAAATGCTAGGTTTTATTTTTGACTAGAATATTTTATTTTATCCTGGATGATACCGGATATAAAAGTGAGAGTCATGTATCTCAATGATTATACAAACTAAAAAAAAAAAAAAAAAAAAAAAACCTTGTTCCGGTTAGCTTCCCTGATAAGGTTTAGGGATTAAGTTCTTATGTTTAATTTAAATTAGTTTCCATAATTATATTATCTGGTAACGCTCCGATGTCTGCTTCTCGAAGTTGAATATTAGCCAGTGATCACGTGATAGAACCAACTAACAAATGTGCAAAACATGTGCATAAAATGTAAGCGAAGGCAACAGCATTGACAAATGCCACGTAAGAAATTTATTCAGTCCTTACCACCAAATACCCCGGGGGTAGAACGCGGACTCTTCGCTTCATTTTTACCGGCAGACAAGCTGTATTTACCTGACAGGGAACAAGAACAAAAGAAAAATCATCCAACCGAATTTTTTTTTTTTTTTCGCACTGGACACTTGAAACTAAGGAAAATAAAAAAAATATTAATTTTAAGAGATGGCTAGAAAATGTACAACTGAAACGAAAATAGATTTGGAAAAAAAAAATTGCGATTGGTTGCTATTAAAAAAATCTTGAGATTTAATAGCACGAGTTTTACTTACATTATTTACATTATTCAGACTTATCCTAATCTTCATTGCCATATTCACAACGTTTCGGCCGTTGTACGCTCCGGCCTACTTCAGAATTTCGAAACGAACCCTTTATTTCATCCAAGAGGGTAGATGGTTCTAGTTTCACATGCCATGCCTCTTCCGGATGTCTCAGTTATTTCCCTTTAACTCAACTCTCCAAGTTGGGTTCCCCACTGCTGTGGCCTGATATTGAACTCACAGCTCTTTTGGTCGAGTCACTGGATCTAACCAACGTCTTTATCCACTGGGCCTTATAAACTAGACCAAACTACCCCGGTAAACGAAATAAAAAGTTCGGTTCGAAATTCCATTCACCTGAAGAAGGCCGGAGCGTACAACGACCGAAAGGTTGTGAATATGGCAATGAAGATAACAGTCCGAATAATGTAAATAATCATAATATGTCATCTCAGAGATATAGACAGATATCCAGAGTTTTGCGCCAAAGAATTTGTATTCAAAAAACAAAAGTACTTGGGATTTATTTACAATATTTACATTGTCCTCATCTTTCTCATATTAACGACGTTTCTGGCGTTGTCCGCTCCGGCCTTCAGGAACTGAACCCTTTATTTCGTCCAGTGTATATTTCTAGTTCCATGCCTTTTTTGGATATCTCAGTTTCAGTTATTTCCTCCTTTAGTAACTCAACTCTCCAAGATTTTGTTCACCTCTACTGTGGCCAGGTATTGAACTCGCAACTCTTTGGGTCAAGTCCCTTGATTACAACCAACGCTTTTATCCACTGGACCATGGATATCACGTAATCTTGTGAAATTCCAATGTATATCACCTGAAGAAACATCGTTAACATGACAGACATAAGGACAATAGTCCGAAGATGGATATCACTAGAGATTTATTAACCTGGCTTCTGCAAGAGTCAGTGTATGTGCCCCGTTGTAGCACTCGGCCCTGTATGTTCCAGTCAGAGATATTTTTCAGGTGTTCAGGTTTCCATTCGGTTTTCTAATGTTGAAAAGTAATTGCTAATTAGGAAAACACTGAATATGCAAATTGAATGCTTGGCGGCATTTACGTAATTTAGCAATAAATACTTCGTTTATAATTTTAATAAAATAGGATTTTATAAGCTATGTAATTTTATATATGTACCTAAAACGTTTAAAATAAATTTTTAAATTAAAGTCTGAAGCTTTAATTTTAGTTTTAATTGCAAGCTAATACATTAAGTTTAATATTCCCAATAAACAAATACTTTGGCGTATTTCAAAACAAATTTAAATTGATTGGGATCTTTCTACTTATCCATAAATTCGTCTATATTGACAGATGTGTCAACAATTCGCTTTATTAAAAATCTTTCATGAATAAAAATTTTCTGAAACATTGAGAAAAATTAGATTAAGTTTAATCGGAATTGAAAAAAAACTTAGTTGAAAATATCACAGAAAACCATAAAAAAAAAAATATCCACTCAGTCTTAAAGACAGAGGATTTTTTTTTTTTTTGCTGTTGAACGATTTATTGAAAGCCTGATGTTTTGTAAATTTAACTAAGGGGAAAATAACTACAACAATTACAGTGTAACCCGGATATAAGAGAGTTGTCGGGACCAGAAGAAGTAGTCTTATATCCGGGTTTGTTTAGGTAAGTATGGGAACACTTTGGGACCAGAGAAAATCTCTTATACCCGGGTTACACTGTACATGAATACAAAGTGAACGCTTTTTATTAGCTATCCAGTAATCTTAAATGTTTAAAATTACTGACGTATTCTATTTTATTGAATTAGAAGCAATTTGGCTTTATAGCCTTATGAAAACGCTTGTTAGAAAATTCCTAACTTTACAATAGTTACTGCTCTTATGTCGTACGAAGCTCTGCATTTGCAAAAATCGACATGTTTATACATACAAATACAGGGATTTTCTTGAATTATAGTAAGCTTTTCCACTTAGAATTAGTAAATAGTTTTAATCTAATATCACTTGGCCACTACAAATACAGGTTTTAAATTTCATAAATTTTTCTAATTAACCGTTTAAGCCCTCAGAGAAAAATAACGTAATGCTTAGCCACCGGTTAAACGGTGGTAGAGGAAAATGACGTAATGCCCAGCCACCGGTTATACGGTGGGAGAGGAAAATGACGTAATGCCCAGCCACCGGTTAAACGGTGGTAGAGGAAAATGACGTAATGCCCCGCTACCTGTTGAACGGTGGGTAAACACTAACTATTTTTATATCTACCGTGAAATATTACATATCAATTCTTTGCGAATTTTGACTCAGGAGGCAGAAGGATTAAAATTATTCAGGAATGCAGGGGTCAAAGGGTTAAAAATAAAATAAAGATTGTAAAAAATTTATTGAATTTTTTTTCTTAATACTATAGTGTCCAGAATACATATTCATTTAAGCAATTCAAAGCTTTTCTAATTAAAAAAAAAGTCTTATTGCACGCCTTAATTTACGATTTGGAGAAGACTGTCTGTAAATGGAGATCCTGTTTGTCAAAAAGAACATTTGGTGATTTAACGTGTCCTTATAATATGAATATTAAGTGATAAAAAAAAAAAAAAAAAAAAAAATCTCAAAATTTCATAAAATTAAATTACTAGCGAGTAAGGGATGGGAAAAAAAAATACCAAGATTTTCTAAAACACGTTTCAAAAAGAATTTTATTCAATTTCATTCATACGTCCGGAAAGTTATTAAAATCCGGCAATTATTTGATTTGAGAATTTCCAAGATCCTATAAAGGATAAAATTTACAAAAACCCTTTATCTTCCTTAACAAGGACAAAGATTGATAAAATTAGTTTTATATTTTCGGCTTTTTTTTCTCTGTAGGGTGGGGGGTGCCTATATAGATACACCTACACACACGTTTATATATATATATATATATATATATATATATATATATATATATATATATATATATATATATATATATATATATTTCGAGAAATGTCGGTCCCTAGCGTTATAATCTAACTAGCTGTAAGTGCTATTTTGAAACCAGCATAGTTATATAGTGGTGTGCTATACAATGTTATGTATTTTATTATAATGTATTTACATTGCCCTTCATCTTGCATTGTAGAGTAGCTGACCAAAACTAAATGGCGGTACCCATGAGAAATTATTGTCAGCATCTTTATAATCATTTCCACTAAATGGCAATTTCCTGTTTTTTGCAAAACTGGCCACAACTAGAAGCATGTAACAGTTGAAGTGTTAATCAATCGGAGAAAAAAAAATTACTGCCAAGCATGATTTTCGATGTTAAATTCATTCATTTCTAAAACAAGGCTTCAGAAATTTCTATGAGCCTCATATATAACCAATGACAATTAAATATTTTCAATTAATATTTTTAATTATTTTCTATCTGTTAAAAATAAACAAGTTCGTGACCGAACTTTGAACTCCACCTTTAAGAAAAATACTGTGAAGAAAAAGGTTTTCGAAATTGTTCCCGTGTTCATTCGCGCGGGATAACTTTTGTATAGTACTGATTTACTAAGCTTAGCTCAAGTGTGGCAGGCGGCCGCAAGTATGGAGTACCCAGTGTAGCGTGAACTTAGTCGTAACTGATTTAGCAAGACAAGCTTGCTACATATTACACCACGTCGATGTGCCTCACCTTTATACAGTATTAAGACCCCCGACCCCCGATTTAGTTCATTACCAAAATTTCGCGATTCTGTCCTTTGCCGCCGCCAATTGAATCTTGTTGCGACCGAACTTTGAACTCCGCCTTTAAGAAAAATAGTCAGAAATCTGCACTATTAAATTAGGGGGTTCGTCCCTTCAGGCAATAATTCGAGAGTGTTAGTGTCATTGTCGGTTATTTGTGACATCCCAAAAAGATAAAGTGATAAGAGATTTTTTTTTTTTTTTTTTTTTTTAATATCCTCTGGTTTCATGCACGAGTATTCGCTCGCTTTAAGCTACCTTGCGCCAGATTCTGTTCGAGAGCATATACAGAAATATTAACACTTCAACTGATGTCTGTAGTGAGTAGGGAAGGACTACAGATGCACCAATATTCCAACAGACAATTGGGTCAATATTTATTATGTACAGGTACATAATTGTGGCACAAGGACGAAAATGGGGAGGGTTTGAGGCTGGTCTTAACTAACTATCCTCTACCTAGCTAATCCTATTCACGGCCCATTCATACATTACAATTTACCCATTCACCATAAGAACTCGTCCATCACCAAGCAATCCTTCATGCACCATAATACCACATCCTCTCTAGGAGGACCTACAAAACGCGCCCTATGACATAAAAATTTAATGATGCTAAAATCATATATAAAAATCTATGATGAATAATGAGAGGGGAGGGAGATGAACACAATAAACTAAATGTCAACACAAAATAAACTAAACATAACTGATGTTAGTAGGGCCCGTCGAACCTTAGAAAAAAAAAAAAAAAAAAGAGGCCACTGTATTTTGCCCATTTGGACAAAATCAAGAGGCGCTCTCGCTAAGGTTCTAATCTTCATCTTGACAACAGACAATCGGGTCTGGTGTGAAAGTAAAAACTCAGCCACTAAATAATGGCTAAAATTTTTGGCGGTCTTTTCAGCTATCACTCTTCCCAACCAACCTACCTACCTTCAATTTACAGTTCGGAGTTCTAGTCTAGAAAGTAAGGAAACCCGGAACATTTCCCTAGTTACAGCCAATATAAACGATTTTAGTTCTATTAGCCATTTCAATCTTTTGAGCACACAAA